AATACCATTCAAAATTTATACACAGAAACAGGATATCATTAATGCTTTCCATTCAGAAAATTATTCTTTAACTTTTAGCAGTGAACATGGATTGCTATCTTTCCTGTCCTATAATCTGATTCCTAGATCAGGAGTGGACTGATTGAGCAGTACAGAAGTTCAGCACTAATGAAATTGCCTTCCCCTCACTTCTACCAGGGAGATATTCTTTGTGCTAGAGTAATTCTTACACTCTTTCACACATACTGAAAAGGCAGAAAAGGGCACAAAGGATCCTAAGCAAAAGACTGGGTATAGTCTTTGATATTCACATTGAAAGAATTTTGAAAGGTAAAACCTTGTTAAGAAATGCAGCAAAGGCATGATTCAAGCAATACTACCTCGCATCAAAGATAACCTGGTCTTTTGAGATTGACTTGTCAAACTGAATTTAAAAATGGATTTTCTGATTAGTTATCAAAGGTTTGTAGTGATAGAACTGAGAAAATTTCTTTTGCATCCGGTCATTTGGATCAGATTTCTCCTAACATCCCCTACTTTGTAACTGCTACTGCATTTTCTAGCCATTTTATGCATATATTTGTATGTATATTTATAAATGTTTATTAATATTTATCATCTTAATACAAAAAGAAGTGATGAAAGCCTGCAGATTTCCAGCTCAGAGGAGACTGAGCTTCTTCTAAATTCACATCTGCACTCAGTGGCTGAATAAGCTGAAGTATAGACCACTGGGGAATAGAATTCTATATCTCCACAGGCCAAATTTTCACTGTGATCAGTGGAGATAAAAGTACTCAGTACTGGATGCTTTCTTGTCAATCTTCCGCTCTAAATAGTGAATGATGATTATAATAGAAATCCCAACAGTTTTGGTGGGATACACAATGAGGTTCAGTTCAGTTAAACTAATATTCCCAACTCAGAAATAAAATATGACTGCTACATGATCATGATTGTGACTATTTCTCAAGCTTTCTTTTTAATCATGCAGTGCTGAAAATAAATCTTACACTGCTGTAGGTACTCAAAAACTATTAAGAGACATTACAAGAAGTCTACAGACACCAATAATCTGGAAGAAATAGAAAAAAAAATGAGCTGGTTTTGATGCTAAATGAAGTACTACTAATGTAAAATTACTAAAATAGCCTTATAAATTAAAAATGTGAAACTAACAAAGAAAAATTTGAGGGACTTGATTTTGCTTAATTCAAACTCAGTGGATTATCCTTCATCTCTGAATTCTGAAAGCACATTAGGATGAAAGCTTACTTACAAGTATTTTCAACAAATCATCCAGAGCACAGGTGGCATCTGGTAACTGAAGTGATAGAACTTAACATAGTTAAGAGGCATAAGTGTAGCCCTTGCAATTGGTGGACTATCTGTAATCAGTAATGACCGGTTTTCAGGCTTTTTCTTAGAGAAATACTTCTCCCTATAGAAAATTTTACTATAAACTGTTACCAAGACTAAGCTGCAAAAAATGATTTATTTGAAGTTATCTAATAAAATAAGACCCTGAGCACTAAGGAGGAAGTAAGAATTATAAATATTAAATATTCTTAAAGTTTTGATTAGCTGAACAGTAGTCTGAATATTCAGTAGTGGTTGTAGAGTTGTTCTGCATTTTGGACCTTTGGGTCTATGGATTAGGAAATTAGGAAATTTGAATGAAAAGGGGAAGCAATTCCTGTCAGAGGTCCTCAGGCTTATCCACAACAGAGCTTTAAAGCAATTACTCAATTTCTAACTTTTCTTTGTCAGCATTAGACCGTTGTGAAATTAAATTTTAGTGTTTGCCTTATGATCTATTCCTTGCAAAGATACAAAATAAACTCTAAAATGATAGTTCCAAAATGTGATATTGGGAATTAATTTTGGTTTGCTTTCAATAACATGGATTGTTTTAACAAAAACTAGGTGATCCCAATTGCTGACTGGAACTTTTATCATTTTTAAGCAGCAATTGCTGTCTCTTTGTCAGCAACTCACAAATGCCTTTAGCTATAATTTACAAGCTGTCTCAATTGAGATAGAGGAATGAAAAAGTGTGCTTCATTTTAAATGTGGGAATATCTTACAGAATTATTTCAGTTGAAAGACACTGGAATAGATGAAAACTTTTCATGCCAGGAAAAAATAAAATAGTGGGTGTTTAGGCTAGGGAAAACACATAGAAACATAGAATACCAGGTTGAAATGGACCTCAAAGAGCATCTGGTCCAACTTTTCCAGGAAAAGCGTTACATAGACTAGATGTCTCAGCACCCTGTTCAGCTGAACCTTGTGTCCAGCACTGGGGGATCCACCATTTCCCTAGGAGATTAATCCAATGGCTGATTGTTAACATTGTGAAAATTTACCTCTAGCGTCCAAATAGCATCTCCCAGTAGTAATTTGAATCCATTACCCCTCATCTTTCCCATGTGACTCCTTCCAAAAAGGAAATCTTCATCTTCTTTGTAGCTTCCCTTTAAATACTGGAACATGATGATAAGGTCTCCACAAAGCTTTCTTCACTCAAGGCTGAACCAACCCCGTTCTCTCAGCCTTTGCACATAAGGCAGGCTTCCCAGTCCTTGCATTATCTTTGCAGCCCTTCTCTGGATACTCTTCATCCTGTCCACATCTTTTCTGTATGGTAGGGACCAAAACTGAACACAGTACTCCAGATGTGGCCTTACAAGTGCTGAGTAGAGTGGGATAATGGTTTCTTTATCCCTGCTGGTGACAGCCTTGTTGATGTAAGACAGAAACCTGTTGGATTTTTTTGCTGCAGCTGTATGCTCTCACTCATGCTGAGCTTATTGTCCACCAGGACCCCCAGGTCGCTTTCCACAGAGCTGCTCCCCAGCCGGGTAGGTCCCAGCCTGTGCTGCACTCTAGGATTGTGTGTACCCATGCACAAGACCTAACTCTTGTGCTTGTTGCATATCCTGTTTCTTGTTAGCCCACTCTTCCAGCCTATCCAGGTCTTCCTGCAGGATGGCTTTCCAAAGTGTCCACTTCCCCAGCTCAGTATCATCATGATTATGATTATTCACACTGAACTCTTCAGCAGTGTGGGGTTTTTTTTGCATTTTTAAAAATTGTGTTAAGTGTTTACGCGCTTGAATTCTATCTGGAATTCTCAGGGTTGTTAACCATGATATTCATTTTTAGGGATCATTTATCTACAAGTAATAGACTACTGACATTTGAATTGCATCAGGGAAGCCTCCAGTAATTACGCATGTTTCTCCTGTGTAGTCTTTGTGAAATATACCAGCCTACAGAGAATGCCACTGTACTCTCGACATCACAAATAACTTTTAATCACTGTCTGTGGGCAGCTGAACCAAGTCCCATCTTTGAAAATAAGGATAGCATCCTTCAAAAAAAACTACATATAAAAGCTTATATTTATGTTTATGTTAAAGTAAATACTTTTGCATCACTAGTTTAACTTTTTTTTGGTACTGTTCTGCAGTTCTAATTCTCTGCTGAAGTAGAAGATATGGTTGTTCTTTAGACTCAGCTGACTATCCCGAGCATAACAGCAATTTAGACACAGCAGACACCTGCATATTAACACTTACATGTAGGTTTCGTAATCTCAAATTGAATCCTACCTGTGGATATCTGATAATCATACAGAAAGGTAAATACCTTAGGGCTGTATCCACAGAAATAGCTGCAAAAAAAAGCATATTTACTTGAGCATCTCTCATGGGGGAGTATGGGTTCTCTTGGCTGCTTTAGTCAGAGCACTAGTATGTCAGTCAGGTAGTATCAAAATGCTCTACAGCTTCAGTGACATATTTAGTGGTAGTACAGTACTTCATTATTCATCAGCATCCATGCCAGTGAAACTTAATGGCAAATGCACACTTAAATAGCTGTGAAAAGGACAGTAAAAGCTTTCAAATGAATAATTGTTTCACACAGACAGCTTTTGCATCCTAAATTGCTCAGTGGTTGGATTTTAAAATAGCCTGTGCTTTTCTTAGTTAATCTCCAGGCACTGATGAAAAGGCATCAGACTGCAAAAGGATTCATTTAGGAAATGAATGTAGCATGGTAATAGTGGGAAAGAACAGTTAGAACTATTTCCTCCTGGGAACGATTATAAGGGAAGAAAACAAATTTATTACCTCAGATAATTAAACAAAACAGTTTTTTTGTTACACCGCAGTTTAGCCATTTTGAATTCAAAATAGTTTTGGAAGTTTTTCTTGGCTTCCTTACAGAACTCATAATATATGAAGTACCTGGGGGGTGGGGGGGGTGGGGGGGTGGGTATCATTTTCTTGCTTTCTGAGTAGGCATGTTAAAGTTAGTATTAATACTGGACACGAGTGTCCCATTCATAGCTTTCTATGTGGAATAGATCAAACACTGAGTACAGTTATCCATATGGGTTTTACTTTATCATACAAAGCTAAATTGCATACAAAGAAGTGTTTCTTTATTTTTCCCTTTTTTTTTTTTTTTTTTTTTTAAGAAGGGACAATTTGGAGCCTGTGAATGTGAGTTGTCAGACTAATTCCCACTATTTTGATGCATGATAAAAATGGAGAAACAATAATAAATGGATTGCATATTTCCTGTTTGTCTGGATTACCCATTATAAATTAGCATTTACACTTCCTCTTCACAGATGATGAGCAGTTAGGACGCAACCCTGCTTACATGATCTATAGACATGAATACATATATCCCTTATGGGACTCTTGGCAGTATATGCTGTAATCAAAGAATGAAAATATCCAGTACCAGAAAGAATATATCTTCCTTTCTAGTCATGTGGGCAAAGGACTAAGTAGTATATGAATGTGTGAATAATATTAAAAATCATCTATGCTTGCTGATCGTATGAAATTCATATGATTTTTGAGAGATTTTTTTTTTCCTGTTTGCTGATGTCAGATAAAACCCCAGATTCTTCTTGGTTTTGTTTCGACAGTTCTGAGATCTTGTTTCATTAACGTTTTTGTTTGTGTGGACTTTCTTAGGCTATATTCAGTTGGAGGTCGGGATGGAAGTTCGTGTTTGAGTTCAATGGAATATTATGACCCTCACACAAATAAATGGAATATGTGTGCTCCTATGTGTAAGAGAAGAGGAGGTGTAGGAGTAGCAACATGTGAAGGCTTTCTTTATGCAGTTGGAGGCCATGATGCTCCTGCTTCTAACCATTGTTCCCGACTGCTGGACTATGTAGAAAGGTACCTAACTATACATGTATTTTTTAAAATACAAAATAATGTCCAGTAACATCACCCTCTTAGCTAAGTGATGATTAAATTAAACAGATGTTTTTACTCAAGAAATGCCAAATTATTATATATTTGAAAGATTCCACAGATGTTTGTAGAAGACAATTTCTTCGAAGGTTATTTATTTTTTCCTTTTTTTCACAGTAGCATTAGATATTATCATGGACACAAAAATCCACTCTTCTCACACCTCATTTAAGAAATTTTATTTTTAAAGCATGATGCAGAGCCATAAACTAAACTGCAGAGATAACAAAATCAGCACTGGATTAATTTTGTAACACAAAATTTTGTCCAGTTGTATTTTGTAACTCTAAAAACATAACTGAAAAAGGAATACAGAACTGCTTAAGTGATTTATATTTAAGGTACCTGACATCGCTCCCTTTAGCAATGCTACCACTTCCTGATGTGTTGATATAAGCCTTAACACACTGCATTTACAGTATCCTGAATTTTGCAGGTGGATACTCTGCAAATTCAAGAATATCTGTTAAGGTAGTAGGGCACAGTTGGAGTGTTTATACATTCAAAACCAGCCTGGACACATTCCTGTGTAACATTATCTAGGTGTTCCTGCTCCGGCAGGGGGATTGGACTAGATGATCTTTCGAGGCCCCTTCCAATCTCTAGCATACTGTGGTACTGTGACTCTTTTCTATTTCTGTATGCTTTAAAATAGAAAAAGGAAAATACAGTCTCCAAATATATACTGTTTGGAAAATTTAAAGTAGATATGTTTGAGCAGTTGGTTTATCTTTATGTAGAAGTAAAAACGGGTGCTAGGAGAGATTTGTATATTTCTTTTCCGAGGGGTTTAATCTTTAAATGTCTGGCTTGGCTTTTACTATTTACCCAGTATGTAATCCAAAATTCGTGTATGATTTTGCTCAGTCTTAAACTCATTCCCATCTCTTCTTTATGTACGCAAAGATCACATACTGAAAAGTACTTTACTTCTCATCTCCAACAGATATAAAACTCAGCAGAAAAATCCTAAGGTGCCTGTACTTCAGGGCCTGTTCTCATGGGCTTCTATTTACAAGGAACAATGACCAGAATTTTCAATGAAATAAATTTATATTAAAACTACTAGGTACAATATTAATAAGTATGAAATCTTTCCAGCTACTTTTGATTATTGGTACTTGTAAGGGAGCTTTTCTTTCATTTTTTTTGGTCTCTGAGCAGAAAAACCTGGTGTTGAAGACAAACCACAATCACATTTGTGTTTCTCAGGGAAGACTGTAACAACGAAATATACCACTCAAACTATTTCGTGCACTGATATCTGAATGTCATTATATATTCTTCCTTGTAAGGTATTTTTGCACTGATAGCAAAAAATGTAGATAATGTACTTCACGGACAGTTAGCGCCCTGACTAAAATCTAGGACTAACAAATCAAAACTTGTAAGGCTAGTATCTTGCATAGAGTGGGTGTGAATTAATTGGACTCCACTAAAACATGAAAAACCCTCTCATGTCCCTCCCAGTGACTGATAAATTTATAAGGTGGATAGGATGTGATTTAGTTTGTCCATTTTGACATTCAAAATTACTTCATCATCTTAAAAAAATAAAATAATCTGAATAATTTAGGAAACCAAACACTAGCAAGTGATACTGAGGTCTATCACAGTAAACTATTTTACATATCTCTGAAAGTTTTACTTTATGTAAATATCTAGGGCATTTTTTTTTTTTTATTAAGTTGCTTTTCTTCTTCAGAAATGAATTTCTGCTTCACTCATTTTGTCATTCTAATACAACCTGATAAGATGTTCTTTATTCAAATATTCTTTTGCTCCTTGAAGATTGTCAAACCAGACATAATGTTTTATTTTTGAGATTATGTAAATCTAAGGAGACCAGATATGTGAGCATTAAATGCTACTGCCAGAACCTTGTTCAGTAGTAGTTAGCATACCTAATTTAATGTCTTCTAAGATTGATGCAATTGTAAAGGGTTTCCTATAGATTCAAGCACTCTAAAATAAAATGCTTGTCTGCTCTTCACAAACTGGGAAACTACAATGTTGTATAGCTTTTTTAAAGGTAAAATAACTAGTTCCTTTTTCAAAATTATAAAATTTTGGAGATATTTTGGAATATTTTATAAAACAGTTTTCTTTTCCAGATGTTGCTCAAAACAACTATTAAAACCTTAAGGAAGTTCTTCCCCTTCTTCTCATCTTGATTTTAGATTTATTCTTTCCACTTTCAAGAATATCATAACCCTTCTGAACTTAGGGCATACCTAGCTATCATAGAGATGAAATGTACAGTTTTTTAGCAGAATAAAGGATGTAAGAAATCTCAGACATTTCCCTGGCAATTATAAAAAAAACCAAGTTCTTGTGCAGTTCAATTTTGCTGACAGAATTGAGTTATAAGAATTCTGTTTAGCCTTGCATACCTCTTTGCCAGAAAAACATGAAGCCCAAATATGCCAATTGTATTTAGTTTCCCTGCTTTAGCACATCTTCACCACAGTCTTTCTGGAGCAGTGTATTAAAGAGTCTATCAAAAGCCTAGAGTTTTCCTTTTTCTGTAAACCATATGTATATGTCCTGGATTCAGCTGTAACAGTTATTTCTTTCCTTCTTAATAGCTGGTGCAGTGCTGTGTTTTTACCTTTAGTCTGAGAACAGTGCTGATAATACTCCAATGTTTTAGTTGTTGCTAAGCAGTGCTTACTGCGATCAAGGATTTTTGTGCTCTGCCAGTGAGGAGAAGCACAAGAAGCTGGGAGGAAACGAGACAGGGCACCTGACCCAAACTAGCCAAAGGAGTATTCCATAGCACAGCACATCATGCCCAGTATGTAAACTGGGGGGAATTAGCTGGAAGACCCAGTCTGCTGGTCTGGTCTGGCTGGGTATCAGTTGGCAGGTACTGAGCAATTGTATTGTGCATCACTTGTGTTTATTATTCATTTTTTCCCCCTCTTTTTTAGTTTTATATTTTCTCCCTCATAATTATTATTATTGGTGGTGGTAGTAGTAGTAGTTTTGTATTACACCTCTGTTACTGGACTGCTCTTATCTCAACCCATGGGATTTACGTTCTTTCAGTTCTCCCCATCTCGCTGGGAGCTAGGGAGAACAAGAGGAGGAGTGAGTGAGTGAGTGGATGCATGGTTCCAAGTTACTAGCTGGGCTTAAACCACAACAGCATATACAACTTTCTGTAGTATTATCAACTTCTAGTTAATAAAGTTTAGACTACAAGAAAATGTGTTGAAAGAACTTGGTTCTTTCCAAAAAAATGAACTTATATCTAATGCTGTTTCTTAAAGGCGCAGGCGAAAGTGGTCTGATGCCTATTTTTGTATAGGGTGCTAAATTATTTTTATTTTCCAGAGAAAAAGGACTATATTCAGGTCAAAGTCAGCATGAACTGACACTTATCTGGACATCCTTTCTCTTTCCTCAGGTATGATCCAAAAACTGATACATGGACAATGGTGGCTCCACTGAGTATGCCTCGAGATGCTGTTGGTGTCTGTCTCCTTGGTGACAAATTATATGCAGTAGGTGGCTACGATGGTCAAACATACCTGAACACTATGGAAGCCTATGACCCTCAAACTAATGAATGGACACGGGTAATCATAAAGTCTTCATTTTTTTTTTTTTTTCATCTGTAACATATTTTGATCATTGTACGCAAAAACATTTCTGAAATAGAAGTATGGTATCTGAGGTTGCATTGCTGTAAAACTAGTCTTAGTATTTTACCAAACATTGTGTTAGGAGGGGATACTTAGGTCCTAAGAAATTCGTCAAAGACAGAATAAACAGTCATTATAAATACTCTTTTTTCATTGTTAGACAAAATTCTTTTTCTGATTAACTTCTATAGCAAATTAATCTTTTCCAACTTTCTTCATGCAGAAGAAGCATTATAAAAAGTAGCAAAATGGATTTAGACTTTTCACTGGTACTGAGCATGTCCTGAATATCCTTCACAGGAAAATTTTTATATTATGTAGAGACACAAGTTTCCATTTCATTCTTCAGTTCCATTTTCTTCTGTGCAATAGATATTTTCATAGAATCATAGAATGGTTAGGGTTGGAAAGGAAGGTAAAATTATCCAGTTCCAGCCTCCCTGCCATGGGCAGGGACACCTCTCACTAGACCAGGTTGCTCAAGGCCCTGTCCAACCTGGCCTTGAGCACTGTCATTTTTTAAATGTTTTGAAGTTTTGAAATGTTGAATTGCATGCATTGTCCTAAATTTTAACTACATAAGAATTAATAGGTATAATACTAAATTGGTTGTAGGACATAATTATTTTATTACATCACAGTAGTGCTTGGATCCATAGCAAAGACAAAAAGAAACAAAGCATTGTTTCAACACTTTCTGTTACTAGTTCTAAGACTTCCTGAAGTAATTTGCTCCACCAGTGTAAATGTTTACATCTGAATTAGTCACCCTAAGTTCCCTTTAAAGCTGGTGAAAAGTACATACTTTGAAAGCATGGTCTTATCCTCATATAGGCATTTTAAATATGCTAGATGTATTATATTCAAAATGCTTGTTTGTTTTTTATGATTCTAAAGGGTTGCTTCTGTTGTCAAGCTTAAATGTAGACTTATATGGTCTAAAAATAATGCAGAAGCCTATCTTTTTAATCTAATATTAATTAAATTATAAGAGCATTTTTATGACTTTCTGTAGCAGATAAGAAATAACTTTCAAAAGATTCTTTTGCTAAATCCACCAGTCCACATAAAAAAAAACCAAAACAGCCCATGAATAATCACATTTGGACAGATAGTTAGGAAACATATATCATTAATTATAGGGTATTATCTTTACTATTACTATTACATTCCATATAAGCTGACTCTGCTGTGTTACTTTCATCAAGATCCAGTCCTCTAAAGGTATTCATCCTTGTGTTGTCTTGAATAGTGTCTAAATCTGCCAAACTTATTCCAGCACTTGAACATGTTTAAGAATACTAGAACCATACAATTTTGATATTGGTAGTCTTGACCTTGTCTCAGGCTCTACAGTCACCTATTATAGAAAGCCCTTGCATATCAACAGTTCACAAAACTAATGATAACGCTAAAATCACTTCTTTTTCCTGTTCTCACATTTTTCAAGTGAAAGGTTTCTGATGTAAGTAACTTTAAAACTACAATACTAGGATATTGTGGGTTGTATGTTTGGGTTTTTTTCAGTGGTTTATAGGCCCATTAGTTTTGACTATTAAAGAATAATGCTGACACAGCACTTTGGCAAACCCTTGCATGGCTTGTTCCTTTTCGGTTAATTTGTGTCTTTTTTCCTGCAGATGGCTTCCTTAAATATTGGAAGAGCTGGCGCCTGTGTTGTAGTCATCAAACAACCATGACTTCGATCAGCACTGCTTAGGGCTTTACAGACTGTGAAATGATTATTTTTCTATCAGACAACAAGAATTACTACTTCATGAGAACAAGGATTCACACAGTGGATACTCTGTTGATCACAAACTTGAAAAAGTTTGGAAGTAAGAAAGATTAAGTATTTATGCCCTATAAAATCATAAAAGCTGTTCACAGTCAGTGAACAAGAAAAAAAATCCCAGGCTGTTGTAGGCATGAATATGTGAGCATGGGGTAGTAAGTTTGGGTACTGTTCTCATGAATGTGTCCTGGAGAACTGGATAACCAAGGGACAGCTCTAAGCAAGGAGCATGAGGGAATATGAGAACAGTTTTCCTGGCTTCAAGAGTTTTAACTGCAGAAACATTAAAGTACATTTAATCACTTTTAAACTGTGCTTTTTAAAGAGGAAAGTAGATATTAACTTAAAAAAGAAATCTGTCTAGGTCTTGTCTTCAGATGGATTATGGTGTTCTCATTTAAACAAGTGGTTTGGTTCTCACTAAAGTGAGGAGGTAGAAAAGTCTAGATATTCAAGTTTCATAGTGACTGAAGTGTTACTCTACTGTAGGAAGAAAAACAAAACTAAAAGTAAACCTCCAAGACTACTTCTTGTTATAACTTTGAATTGTATGTTCTTGCCAGTGTTAACATATCTCATGAGTCTATTAAAGGGAAGCCTGTGTGTTTAGTCTAATCAAACACAAAGCAATCCTTCGGCTGCGCTGGGGCTTTGCTGCAAATATGGGAGTCAAAAGAGAAGTTTCCCAATTCTTTCTTAATCTTGTATTCAATTTAAGCATGTGGTCTCTGATCTCATTGCTTAATACATCTTCTGCATGTTGGAAGCTCATGAAATGCTGGAAAATAGATACTGTTCCTTCACTGCTTCTTGTAACAGATGAACCATGGTCAGAACAGCCTATATACAGCCTCTTCTAACATTTCAAGAGGGATAAAAATACTATGTCTTATTTCTTTCTGACACTTGTCCATACACAACTTTGCCTGAATACAGCTGCCAATTTATGACTTTCCACGTAAAGATAAGATGCTGAGACCAAAAAAAAGATTTTAGAATTATAACTGCAATTGGACATTAGCATTCAGTTCTCATGCACAGATACCTAATGAGTTTAGAAGTAAAATTTTTAATTCTGTTCCCAGAACTTCCTTTTGATTACAGTATATCCATGCACAATAGTGGTATGATTACCTATGTACTGGCCTTCAAAAAAGGATTATGTCTGTTAATTGCAATTCATGGCAGATTTGCTTTCTATGCCTTCATCATATTAAGCCTCAAATTACACTCAATTTCATTTTCTAATCTTAATTTACATTTGCACATTTCCATTTGCCTTTTTTAATTTATTTCTACTAATAGAGTAGCATAAACATCAGTTTTGAAAAAGAAAGATTAAGCTTGTGATCCTCTTTTGTTTATGGACTTGTTGATTACCCTGCCATTTTGAACCTCTCCTTTTAGTTATTTTTTGCATTTACAGTTTTTATTATTGGCAGTGAGGAATGCTAGAAATATAATCATTATTAACAAAACTCTTAATAGAAAAATATCATTTAAAGTAATTATTGAGTAGAGGTCTTTATTATTGACATTTTGTGGTCCAATTTCACTGACTTTTTTTTGAAATCGAAGCCACTGAAATCAAAGCCACAAATAAGGCAATAAAATGATCGGAAGGTAAGAATATTATTACTTTGGCTTTAATTATAATTGTTCAATACATATTTGTATATGTGTTCTTGCAATAGAAACACTAATATTGCTTAAAAGCAACAGTAAATTTTAAAAAATCCTTTTGTATATAGAACAGACTTTTAATCATATGAAACTTGTTACATTATTAAAGTAATTTAAGGATGCCTGCCTCATAATGTTACTCTGTTAAGCTACTGTTAATTTATTTAAGGAAACCATTTTGGCATAGACAAAGGATTATTTCCTTGAGTATCATTCTCTTGTGCAGAAAACTACCATAAATTGACCAATATTTGGAAAGTATTTATGTTAAAATATATCTAGAAAGCTCTATCTATTATTCAGATTGGTTTATATGTTTAGAAACCCCAATTAATTCCCTTGAATATATATTTCAATTACTTAAACACTTTTCAATTACTTCAGTAAAAATAACTCACAGAAGAATTTGAAGCTATACAGGTTTTAATGGCTCAGACACTGATATCCATGAGCAAATTCCAGAAACACTGTGCACTGTGATCACGAAAAAAATACAGTTTTTTCACAGCGTAATTCACATTCTAGAAATGTTTCTTTATTACTGTGCACCAAATGAACTGGACATAAAATGTTTCTATGTTATCTATGACTTTGCATTAGCTTTTTCATGAAGAATAATTAGAAAAGGCTTTTCTGCAAAGGCTCCAAAAAAAATCTCTTGTAACTATTATCAAATAGCAGTAATAAATTACATGCAAAATTCTTTAATTTTGTGTGAAACTCTTTTCCTGTATGAAATTCACAATCTGGAACAGGACACAGTGCACTTTTTTTTCCATTAGGATCACATAATGTCCTCGGCTCAGCAGTAGCAGTCATTTTTCTCCTTAGTGGTAGCTGGTGCAGTGTTGTGTTTTGACTTCCAGCCTGGGAACAGTGCTGGTGATACCGATGTTTTTGGTTGTTGCTAAGTGATGTTTACCCTGACCAAGGACTTTGTGAGGCTCATGCTCTGCCAGGGAGGAGGGCAAGCCGTGAGGAAGCAGAGACGGGGCACCTGACCCAAGCTAGCCAAAGAGGTATTCCATACCACGGCACGTCATGCCCAGGATGGGGGGTAACTGGGAGTTACCCGGAAGGACACGGGCTTCTGGGTTGGACTCGTTTCTTGGCCGCTGGCATTGTATTCTCTTCCCTTGTTATTTTCTCTTATCATTGTTGTCATTGGTAGTAGCGGTGGTGATTTGTGTTATACATTTGTTGATGGACTGTTCTTGTCTCAGCCTGTGGGAGTTGCACTCTTTTGATCTTCCTCCCCATCCCTCCAGGAGCGGGGAAAGGGAGAGCCCCGGGTGGGGGGTGCCTCTATTGCTCTCAGCCCGGCACTACTCACTGGGAGTGAGTGAACAAGCTGTCTGGCTAGGGTTTAAACCACAACACCTACACATACACCTGTGTTTAGTTTTATATGCTCACAATCCAACTGTACATAGGCTCTTTGTTCATTACTGCTTTCTCACTTTTCTCCCCTCCCTATACCCAGTTTTCCAGCTTCTGTTTATATTGCAGATGCTTTTTACCATTAAGCACATTTTGCTACAGAATCATTTCTGATGAAAGCAGCAGGTATAATGGTACACCATACTGGTAGCCAATTTCTTACAACTCTATATACAAAGTGGATACGCATCACATAAAAACCCCAAGGTTTATTTTTCTTTGCCATAATAAAGTTTTTTGCTGTGTCATCAATCTTTTAAAGATCTATACATTGAAAAAAGAAATTTAAACTTTCTAAAAATGTAAACATTTTTAATAGAGAGCTTCCAACTATTCACAGATTACTTCAACCTTAAAAAATTGTGTTTAGTCATGCAATATTTTTGATGATCCCAGTACTGGCATCCAGATCTCTTGCAGATGTTAGTGTCTGTGAAATTGTCTCATTATCTCCAGATTTTTTCTAATCCAATGGACATCTCCCATTGAGTGTAAAGAATACCAAATTTAATATTTACAACTTACATTTGAAACTTCCATGTGGTTTGCACAAATTAGAAAATCAGGACCCCAGACTGCTCACAGAGCATGCTGCTAAATTTCATAGAAGTTTGACTCAAAATTATAAAAGTATCAGAGTAGCGAATATTTGTTCAAAGGATAATACAGTAGAATAACCACATCTCAAAAATATAAAAAGAATATTAGGGAAAAAAATTCTGTTACTTTCAATATACTTTATTCCCACCACAAGCAATTTGATTTTAGGGAAATAACTATGCAACCAATCTACTGGCTCATAAATTGAAATACTATTTGAAAGCAGCATTTCTTACAGTGCTTCATGTAAAATAAGGACTTGACTTTAAAAGAAGAAAAATTGTTATTTATCCCAAACTAATACTTAAAATCTCAATATTGAAAAGCAGTAGCATAGATATACCTTAGAAGTCAGTAACTAGTTACATATTTTAAATTCTGAAAATATCAAGTTCTTGGACATTTTTGTGTCTCTTGTATCAAAATCTATATACATATATTAGGTAATACAGGCTCACTACCAACTCAAAAGAGAATCTCAATATGTAAAAGTAATTTCAGAAATATTTCTGCTTAAAAATAGATTATCCATGCAATCTATCTGTTCTAACTTAAATGAGAATGTACAAAATATTTGGCAGGATAATTATTCTTCAGCCTTACTCTAAATCCAGTATAAAGCTGCTCAAATTGGAATAACCTTACATTTCACTGTAAATTTCCTCATTATAGGCCTGCTTCATAGTACATGGGGATTAGGTACACTCAGGGGCAGAGAGACTGCTCAAAATACTTAAATCAGCAAAGCTTTGATTTCCCTGTGCAGAACTGCAACTGTTGGAAATTCAGCTATAAAAAAAAAAATTACTTCCACAGGTAAGAAGCACAGTGGCAGGGAATAATGCAGCCTATATTCGCTGGCTGTCCACAGCTTCCTGAAGGGATCAATGTAGCTGCCAAACCCACCACCCTCTAAAGGTTGTGTATAAAGACAGGCATCGTTAGTGTACTATTTATAATGTAGAGACTGTCCCCACAAATACTCAATAGAAGGGCTGAATTTGAAGGTGTCCAGGAAAAGAAATATTGCTCCAAAAGTGAGGTGTTTAAGTAAAAGAGCTTTCACTTTAGTTGCCCACATGTAAGTGTCTAGTATCTGAGATTTAAGACATCCACACTGTGTGGGCAGGTATGACATAGATAAAGTTTTAGAGTAGCAACAGAAGTTCAGATGGGAAGCTCTGTTTCCAGATGACATAAGGTGCCTATATGTAGGCAAAGGAAATCCATGATCTCTTATATCCCATATATATGCACCCAGTGCCATTAGACATTTGAAGGCAGCATCTTGAGTCCCACCTGGGTTGTAAGAAAGGCTGAATTTAAAAATATTCAACGCTAGGTCTCTTAACCATGAAAATATTAATTTTAGGTGTGAGAGCACAGTCAATTAATACTCAGTAATACTGACATAAAATGTTTAAATATGCTAAATGCTAACTCATAGAGAGCCTTTTTTTAGCATGAAAATTAGCTTTTTTGTACCACTTCAGCCAGATTTTTTTTCTGTAAGCAAGTCATGATTAAGTCACCCTTATTCAGAAGGGTTATTCAAATATTACTTACAGTAGTTGCTGTTGCCTAATGTAGAGTTCCTGGTTCTGCCTTTTCATTTAATGCTGAAATGTTTCCATGCGCAATTCTGTAAAGATTTGGAATACATATTTCAGTCACATAGTGGAAAAATATCACATGTAGGCATAATATGGAAATGGAGTGCATCAAGGGTTGTTGTTTTGTTTTTTTTTTGGTTTGGTTTGTTTTTTTCCTACACTTGCATATTTTCCAGGACATCACTAAATTAAAAGAAATCATTTGTCCCATATGAAAGGAAAAAAAGAAAGAACTGCAATAGCACACTGAATGAACAAATACCAAATTCTTAATATCATTAATATAAAGTGTTC